GGAGCATTGTGTAAACACACGGTGCCATGAAGGATTCTTACAAATCTCCTGAGCACAGACCGTATCGCTTAAAGCAGAGCATGCTTCAGACATTACTCACAGACGCACACCTCGCTTGACTACCAGCCTGAAGAAAGACGCTGCAGTTCATCATCTGTCAGACGTGAGAGCGCAGCCTTTGGACAAGCTCTGTGAGCAGTGAGAGATAAGAGCAATCTACCTCCTCTGTGGGGCAACAGAGAAAGGAATACATGTGGTAGTGAAGATATTTTGGGGTTCCAAGAAGGATACAACTTGATGCAAATCCCTCATTGTGTTGGATATTTATGTCAGAATACTTTCACCATGTTTTCTGTTAGTTGTAGTTAAAAAAAAATTTTATGTAATGTAAACCTGCAAAAAGAAACGAGTAGAACTCCTTTGCAGAAGCTACAGGTTCTGTGTGTATATACAGTACAAAGTAAATATCACTACAATATATAGAATGGTGAAAAGACATCGGCTGTGGCATTTAACGGAAGGTTGCAGTGGGATACAGGATGGAATGAGAAACTTAACACATTGAATTATAAAAGGCTATAACAGCACAATGTGGCCAAGACTGAAAAATGTGAAGAGAAGTGAGCATTTAGAAACAATGGAGGTATAAAAGCAAACATAAGCCAGTAGGACAACAGTGGCAGTTAGGTGAAAAGAGAAAAAGTCAAACAAATGTATAAATATATGTCTAATCATCCAGAATTCCAGTACAGTAGTCCCTCGCTACTTTGCAGTTTGACTTTCGCGGACTTGCTCTTTCGCGGTTTTTCAAAGTAAGTTGATAGATGAGCTGCACAATCGGCATGGATGTTTTATTTGAAATGATTTATTTTAAATGATCTAGTACCTGCTGCACCTGTGTGTGGCCACAGCTGCAGGAGAAGCTTCCTCCTTCAGTGTGTCAGGATCTCTGCTCTGCAGCGGAGAAGTGGGCGTGGCCGAGAGCAGACGGAGAGAGCAGAGATCATGACATTCTGTGCTCTACGCGAGTGTTTAGAGTTCAGAAACATTGTTTACAATATTACAAGAGTGTTGGGTTTAAAACGTCTTTATATTTGTGTATGTATATACTAAAATAAACCATCTCATCTCATTACCATCTCATGTACCACATGAGATGGTAATGAAAATAAAGTTTACTGTACCTCAAGGATTCAAGGTTCTTTGTTATTCGCATCACATGTGGTACATGAGGTGGAATGAAATTGTGTACACAGGGTCCCAGTTATGTCCAACAAAAGTATAAAATGTAAAAGAAAAACAGTAATAAGATATAAGCTACGAACTAAGAAAAACCTCAACTAAAAATACACTAAGCACTAGTAGTATAAAAACAATACCCCAGCAATACTTGAACTTAAACTACTGTATCCCTACTGTCACCAAGGAAGAGGGCCGGCAATGGAGGAGGGGCGTACCAAAGAGACCATCTAATCACAAGCAGAACTGGTTTGTTCCACTTTGGAGTAAGCTGTTGGGGGAAGAATCAGTTTTGTTGTGTGTTTCCTTGACTGATGAAGCCTTTCGGATTGAAGGTGAAACGTTTCAGCACAAAAAAAAGAAACTGTCCAGATGACCTGACTGAAAAATGTTGGATTGTATACGTGGATTATTGAGCATGGACTTTGTTACTGTATCCCTACTTGGCGGTTTTTCACTTATTGCGGGGAGGGCAGGGTACAAAAACCCCGCGATAAACGAGGGACTACTGTAGTTTAGTATTTGAAGAGGGTTCTGCATTACTAACAAAAAGAGAATAATCAACACTCAGTGCTTTATTTTATTCTTATACATAAAATAAATGGATTTTTTTTAAAAACATTAATAAAAAAACAGTGTTGTCCTTGTTTTATCGTGGCTCAGGTGATGTGCTGGAATTGGCATCAGTTGCATCTCTGTTGATTGATCAAGACGTACATGTGTTCATGTATAATTATGTAATTAATTGGTGTCAGTTTGTTGGTCCAGGCACACCTTCTGACGGGGCGTTCAGTTCATCTGATCCTGTCTCATCTTATTACCACCTTTACAAACCATTTTACACTGTCACACAATGTGAAACATATTACACAACAGAAACTTGTTAAATTTATGACAAAGCCAGCAATTAGATTTGGAAATTCATAGAAAGAGGATAGGAAAGGGTGTAAATTTATTTATTTATATATAAGCGTTTCTCATTCCCAGTTAATCAACATTTTCATCACACAATTGTAATTGAAACGAGGTCAGGGCAGAGATGGTCCGACAATGATGTAAAGATTGAAACTGTATGACATGGCACCATCAGTGTGGTTATTTCTTATTTTTCTCAATACTCAGAGGAAGCTGCAATGTTGTCATTTCTCACAAAAATCCTATTTGATTATGAAAACACCATAAACCCAAGTTTGTAAAGTAAAATCTCAATTTGCCCCATACAAAGCTCTATTTGAATGTGGCTTTAGAATTGCACACAATTCCGAGTCTTGCCGTGTCGGTGTATGGCAAAGTCTAAAACTGTTTCTCCAGCACTCGTAGCCTCGACGTTCATCCAGTGCGTTCGCTTCACAATTGATTTATACAATTTAAGAAAATGAAAAGGAACCATCAATGCCATTACAAACAGGCACAGAATATAAAGTGAAAGAGAAAATGGCTTTATTCATCCATGGTGGTGTGTGTGTGCGAGCAGAAAGGGGAGCTGACAAAAGGTATAACTCGGATGGAAGGGCTTGTTTTATTATTTATGCCAAGATTGTCTGTTCCAGACTTTCATAATGAATGATTGCTCTCTTTCACTAATCTTTTGTTATTCAGGTATAGTTGCTCATTTGAGCACTTATTTTAAAACAATAGTTTGAAGCCCCTGTAGAAACACACAGCTATTTTAAATGGGATTTTACTTTCTTAATAATGGTGATGCTAATATGTACAATGACTTGCATACTGGAGTGTTTTATAACTAAAACCTATTCAAGTGTACTCCATGTTGTCAGCAATGACACGATCCCAACAATTACTTTGAAATTACTTAACTTTATTCAAATGATTAACCTTTTTGGTAAAATCCTTTGTCTTAACATATGTATAGATTGTTTGACCTGTTGTGTTAAGAAATATAAAGTACTTTTGTGTTGTTTTTTGTTTTACAGTGTATTTGCTAAGGGGATACACTGAGCAAATTACCTCAGCATATTCCTTTTTTTATAATTCTTTAAACTTTTTCTCAAAAATGACTCAAAGGGAACTGTTTGCTTTGATTCTTTTAATGAAGGTAGAAGTCCTTGAAGTGTTGCGTATCACCCACCGCCTCACATTTTGGTTTTAAACAGATGTTGAGCAATCTGTTAGCTCGATGTGTTGGAGACGACTTTTAGCCCCTGCTACAACAAATTCTAGCTCTGCATGTGTAAAATGTTGTTTTTGTCATTATTGATTTTGGCTAGATTGATTAGCTGTGACAGCCATCTTGAATCAAGTTGATTCCAGAAATTAATTAGTTGTAAATCTACATCCGCAGTAAGTTGCACTAAAATCTGTCCAGTGGTTAATGCAATTTTGTCAACAAACATGTAAAAAAAAAAACATTGCCAAACTACATATAGTTACATGTATTCAATGGATGTTTATATTTGGTCTGGTTGGTTGTTTAAAGAATTTAAGTGCAGAACCCGCTTTTTGAATTTACTCTCAAATAGTGAGTAGCACGGGTGCAATCAATGGGAGATGCTGGCGCTCCCAGGGATTCTCCCCATCAGGGCGATTGACTAAAGCAGCAGGAAGTCTCATTTGTTCATTTGATTCCTTAATAAATCGAGCAAAACATCATGGAGTGTTTTATTTTATTGAGCAGGAAAAGTTAGTTGGATTTTCAGCTGCTCCCACATTTATTCACTCCATATATTCACAACCTCCGACTGCAGTTTGTCTGGAGGCACTGATTTGATTCACAGGTATCACACAGACCTGTGCGGCAGTTGGGTCAGAAATTGTCAGATGTTTTTTTGTTTGTTTGTTTTACTTTACCTACCTATATATTAATTACTGTCCTTATGCCTGTTAAGATATTATTTGATTTGAATAGTAAAAGTGACTCAAATCTGCTAAACAAAGTAAAACAGTAAAGTCATTTGATAATCCCAAAGGGGAAATTAAGTGATTTCATTACATGAATTATAAAAAGAAAAAGTACAGGCAAAATTGATTAAAAAAATACAAACAATTAAGTGTGTTTCATACTATAGTGTCTTATGTTGACAAAATATAATGATGTAAAAGGGTATTTCTGTGGACAGATTTCATCTTCCTGTAATGCTGATCCTTAATACAATGAAGCTAAAAGTGTATCAAGCTAGGGTTCATCATCTAACATGTTCATCTATAACTGTGCTGAAGGATTTCAATTTTACGTTGGGAGAAAATACATGAAATGGTTCCTCGAGCTGGAGAACCATTGTACTTTTCCCATGCATGTCTGAACTACAACCTAAATGGAATATTTTTAAATTTAAATGTATGACCCAAAAAAAAGGGTTGTAGTGTGCATGAGTCAGCATTGACATCAAACATTAGTTCCTTAAGACCAGAAAAAAAAAAGTTTTCTATATCCACTTTAAACTTTCTTCTTGGTTTGCGTTTGTTTTCTCAAACTCTTCATGGATCAGGGGTCTTACTGTAGGCAACAGTGTGGGCTCGGAAAGCTCAAACAGATGCTCCGACATGTAAATGACTCTTGAGTTGCCATGGTTACTAATGACAGATGTTAGGAAGTGACAGAAATACCAGCAGAAAATACTCAGCCAGTATGGCTGAAATGGTGCACATATGGATTTCAAAGGCAGATATCCCAGCCTTCAATCAAAATGTCCAGTTTTGTCTGTATGATTCGTTTCATTCAGAAGTGCTGCTTTATCATCTTTGCTCCAGTTGTACTCTGAGGAAATGTTAACTTTGATCCACGTTATTTTTCTTCTTCCCAGGCGAAGATGATGACGACGAGGAGTGCGGTGAGGAGAAGCTGCCCTCGTGCTTTGACTATGTCATGCACTTCCTCACGGTCTTCTGGAAGGTTCTGTTCGCCTTCGTCCCACCCACCGATTATTGGAACGGCTGGGCCTGCTTCGTCGTCTCAATCTGTATGATCGGGCTCCTTACTGCCGTCATCGGTGAGGGCTTAACAGTTCAGCAGAAGGGCTACTCTAAAATAGTAAAACAAGATTTACATTTTTAAATAAACTCTTGAAATGCAGTGACTTTTGTACATAAAAATGTTTGGCTTTTTTAAACTTTATAATTAACAATAATGTGCTGGTGTTTGTTTTTTTTATTATTACAGGAGATCTGGCTTCTCATTTTGGCTGCACGGTGGGCCTGAAAGACTCCGTCACAGCAGTTGTATTTGTTGCACTGGGAACTTCTGTGCCAGGTGAGAGTTTATGAATACATACACTACTTATTTTTATGCTCCTGTGCTAACAGAACAAAATGTGCACGTATTATGGTATACTCTCCGTACCTCTGTAAACTTTCTCTTGTCCTGCCCCAAACTTCTGCTCCGCCCAAGATAATAGAACAAAACTTAACGCACGTTTATATACACACACACAAACTTTTTTTTTTTTTAATATATTTTTTGGATGACAACTGGGACCTCAGTACTTATTCTTTTTGTTCCTCGTTTCTTTAATTGGAATGACAAAGCTCCTTGAATCCTTAAACTAAGGTATAACAGAGGACGGAGTACACATATCTGCAACTGATTTGAGACTTTTGCATTTCTAACATAAACAAATTACTGTGAGCACCATGTGATGTCAGCATAAATCTATTCTTCTTGTCAGGCTTAGGTGATCTTTTTCTTCCCATTTACAGAGCTTGGGGATGAACATATAATATTTTACATACATGTGTGCACATGGACAAAAAAAACACCTACCGACAGCTGCATTAATGGATGAAGGCAACTGCTTGGGGAAAAAAATACACACTGCAAACACACACACGCACACACAGAAACAAAGAAACAAACTCCAGTTCTGTGGCTATTACAGTTAATAAAACCCATCCTGCGCTGCGGTTCCAAGATGATTAACCCCATTTATCACGGTTAGCTTAGCTAACACAAACGTACAAATGCTCAGAGCTGAAGAAAACTGCATAAAATAAGCTGTTTAAAATTAGCAACAAATACTGTTTTCTAGTTTAAGATTCAGCCAAAACTTCATATACTCTGTTTTTGACTACAGTACATTTAAAATAGACCAAAGTTTTATGCCATTAGGATTTTTTTTTTTTTAAGCATTAAAATGTTAAAACTTTTCTAGATTTAACATTTTTGCATGAGAAGTAGATGCTATGCAATTGATTTGTCTGACTGATGCAGCAAAGCATCAGTATTTAATTTATCACAATTTTAGGTGGCATTTTAGGAAATATTAAATTTGACAGTGATGATCAAATTTCAAGGAGAAAAGCACAACAAAAAAATAGACAAGCCAGAGAACTAATCAGATTGAGCATATAAATACTCCCCACTGTGTTCTTCCATCCCATTTCAAGAAGCCATGGGGGAAAGAGAAGCAGGAGAGAGGAGGAGAAGGGTGTCATGAGGGAAGATGTTGGCACTGGGTGATTGTAAGGTTGAGAAAAAGGGCAGGAAGCTCTCTGGGGAGACATGCTGTCAGAGAAGGAGTTGCAACATAGAACCTATTTCACACAAGCACGCTATTGCTGCTGAACATGCAGACACCCACACACACTCCCACTCAATCAGGCTCACAAGCATTCAAAAAGCAACTGAAGCTCAGACGTGCCAGTCTTTGCCAGCTGGTGGAGGCATGGCATCAGATTAGACCCAGGTGGTGCCATTCATAAATCGATACAGTGTATGTATGAGCACTTTTTACTCAAACTCAGACATGAAGGCCTATGGAACAGAAAAGCTCAGACATAAACACAAAGCACTCACACAGATAAGCCTAACAGGATGGCTCTGAAAGTGTCAGGGTAGTATCTCACATGGTTGCAACTGTTAAAGTTGGTGACTGAAATTTTAAAAAAGGCACTTCAATTGCAGTCTCATTTTGCCCCACCAATGAAGCCACATTTTAAGGCATTGAAAATCTCTGCCTATTCTCATATTTACATGTACACAGCTTGAAAAAATGTTTTCGAGGCCATGGGAATTATTCTATTTCCTATTTTTGCCCACACTGTAGCCACCTAAGCCTGCTTTGCACCCACCTTCATCTTTTATGATTTCATCAACTGCAGTACGCTTTTTATAAATAATCATTTAGCATTTGCATGCTTTTTTTTTGTTTTTTCTTTTAAGTCAGAGGAGAGTTCAAGTGCAGGTGTAAAAGTACAGCTATAGCACTTTAGAAATCACGGAAACAAAATTTAAAGGCTTGAAATGAATTTGAGATGCCTGAGACAAACCTATTTTAAGAAAAGTTTGGCCAAAGATTTTTAAACTTGAACAACAAGACTGTGAGCCTCTGTAGCTCACAAACAAAAAAATTGTCAAACCCATACAAATGTTTTGAGACATATGGGAGACTTCCTTGCAAATGTCCTTTGTCAACTATTTGCCAAGAATCATAACCCAGTGAGATACTGGCTTAAGATTTAAGGGGACATTTGGAGGATATCTTATTGTTGGTCTGTTCCCTCAACCAGCATTATGTTGCTCTTTTTTTTTTTTTTTTTTTTTGGTGCAATATCTCTGGTCTTCGTCTCATCCATAGTTCATTTGACTTACTCTTCTAATGAGCATACTTGTATTGTGAACCTTTCACTCATTGCTTTTACTCAATATGTGTCCCCTAATATTGTATTTGAAGAATGTCCCTCAGAGACGCCATAGTTTTGTAAGAAAATTAAAACAGAAAAAATCTTTGGAAAAATACAGCAAAATTATTAACAAGACCAATAGTTTGTGCATGTAAACTGAGATTTAGTCTTGTACATTTATCTTGGACCAAATCTTTTTCATGCAGGCAGCATTGGATACATTAGTAGTCTTGTTTTAATTTCAGCTTTCCCAACAAAATGTTGAAAAAATGTCTTTATATGTCACAGCAGTCATATTTAAATCACAAATGCCATGTTGAGGGTGGTTCATAGCAAGAAATTTTGAAAGGAAAGGCTTTTCTTTACCAAATGCTGTTACGAGGCAAGCTGACATTAAACTTGACACAAAGGTTTCCATCAGGAGCGCACCATCACTGCAAACAAATGTTTAGATTATATTTAACTTTGTCATTACACAACAAGTACAAGTACAATGGTTAACAGGTGACCAGTTCAATAAGGAGACAGCTCAGGGGAAATAGCTGCACTTTAGTCTGCTGGTTTGGGTCCAGAGGCTCCTGAAATACCTGCCGGAGGGCAAGCAGGCAAATAGTTTATGGGCAGGGTCAGAGGAATTATTGAGAATGCTGTGAGCTCGGTGCAGGCAATGTTTCCTCAAGATGTCTGCAATAAGTAGAGACCCTGTGAAGCACTGAGCTGTCTTCACCATTCACTGCAGTGCCTTGCGGTCCTTGACGATGAATTTCCCATACCATACATTACTGGTCATGATACTCTATCACACAGCAGTGAAAGTTCACCAGGACAGCCATGGAAATGTTGTTTCTTCAATGTTCTCAGAAAGAACAAGTGTTGGTGAGCCTTCTTCAAGGCCCCAGGCCAACCGAGAGACCTAGTCTCTCCAGCATGTCCTGGGTCTTCCTCTGGGTCTACTCCCAGTCAGACATGCCCACCTCCCTCAGGAGGCACCCAGGGAGCATCCTTACCAGATGCCCAAACCACCTCAACTGGCTCCTCTCGATGTTCAGGAGCAGTGGTTCTACTCAGTCTCTCCAGGATAAATGAACTTCTCAACCTATCACTAAGGGAGAATCCAGCTACCCTGTGGAGGAAACTAATTTCAACCACCTGCATCCGCGATCTCATTCTTTTGATCACTACCCAAAGTTTGTGACCATAGGTGAGGACTATAGACCAATTGATAAACAGAGAGCTTTGCCTTACAGCTCAGCTCCCTCTTCACTACAACAGAGCCCGCAATACTGCAGATGCTGCACCAATCCGTCTGTCAATCTCACGCTCCATTCTTCCCTCACTCGTGAAGAAAACCCCAAAATACTTGAACTCCTCCATTTGAGACAGAACCTCACCCTCGACCCAAAGAGAGCAATCCACACTTTTCTGACTGAGGGCCATGGCCACAGATTTGGAGGAGCTGATTCTCATCCTAGCCACTTCACACTCTGCTGCGAACCGTTCCAGTGATATCTGGAATCACGGCACGATGAAGCCAACAGGACCACATCATCTGCAAAGAGCAGAGATGAAATCCGAAGCCACCAAACCAAAATCACTCCACACCCTGGCTGCACTGAGAAAGTCTGTCCATAAACGTTATGAACAGAATCTGTGACATGGGGCAGCCCTGGTAGAGTCCAACTCCAACCCTGAAGGGGTCCAACTTACTACCAGCAATGTGAACCAAATTCTCGCACCGATTGTATAGGGACCGAACAGCCTGTAGCAACGTGCCCCATCCCATACTCACAGAATACCCCCCACAGTGTACCTCGAGGAACACTCTCAGAAGCCTTCTCCAAGTCCAAAAAACACATGTAGACTGGATGAGAAAACTCCCATGACCCCTCGAGCAAGGTAAAGAACTGGTCCAGCAGTCCACAGCCAGGATGGAACTCATATTGTTCCTCCTGGATCTGAGGTTCCACCAACAATCTGACTCACTTCTCTAGTACCACAGAATATACCTTACCAGGGAGGCAAAGGAGAGTGATGCCCCTATAATTGGAGCATACCCTCCAGACCCTCTTTGTGAAGAAAGGAACCACCACCCCAGTCTGCCACACTGCCCCCAATGTCCATGTGATGTTGCAAAGGCGTATCAACCAAGACAGCCCCACAACATCCACAGCCTTAAGGAAATCCAGGTGAATATCATCCACCCCCGGAGACCTGCCCCATCTGAACTTTTGCCTCACTCCTCAGCTGCCTCTGGAGTCCCACCAGACAACAAGGGCCAAAAGAACTCTGTCTTCAGCTTGACAGCTTCCTTAACCCAAGGTGTCTACCAAAGAGTTTGAGGATAGCCACCGTGTGATGCAATTACACCCTTGTGGCCACAACTCAAGGCAGTGGCTTCCGCATTTGAGGCATGGAACATGGCCCACTCTGACTCAATGTCCCCTGCCTGCCTCAAATAGGATGTGATTAAAGCTCTCCCAGAGGTGCAAGTTGAAGATCTTTTTGACAGGTTCTTCTTCTGCCAGGCTTTCCCAGCAAATTTTCACTACACGTTTGGGTCTGTCTGGCATCTTTCTCCATCATCTGATCCAACTCACTACCAGGTGACAATCAGTTTACAGCTCAGCTCCTCTCTTCACCTGTGTCCAAAACAAAACTGCTGCAAATCAGATGACACCACTACAAAGTCTATCATCAATTTATGACATAGGGCATCCTGGTGCCACGTGCACTTTTGGACACCCTTATGTTTGAACATGGTGTTTGTGATGGACAAACTATGACTAGCACCAAAGTCCAACAACAAAACAGTGCTCGGGTTCAGATCAGAAAGACCGTTTCTCCCAATTACGCCCCTCCATGTCATACTGTCCTTACCCACGTGGGCATTGAAGTCTTCCAGTAGAATAAAGGAGTCCCCAGCTGGCGCACCTTCCAGCACCCCTGCAAAGGACTCCAAGAAGGCCAGATACTCTGAAATGCTGTTTGGCGCATAGGCACAAACAGTCAGAGCCTGTCCCCCCACCCAAAGACACAGGGAAGCTACCCTCTCATCTACCAGGGAAAACAGCAACACACAGGCACCAAGTCGGGGGGCTAAGAGTAGACCCACACCAGCTCAGCGCCTCTCACCATGGGCAACTTCAGAGTGGAATAAGGTCCAGCCCCTCTCAAAGAGATTGACTCCAGAGCCCATGCTGTGCACCGAGGTGAGCCCAACTATATCTAGTCAGTACCTCTGAACCTCACGCACAAGCTCAGTCTCCTTCCCCATCAGAAAAGTCACATTCTATGTCCCAAGAGACAGCTTTTGTAAGCCAGGGTCAGAGCGCCAAGGCACCTGCCTTCAGCCACTGCTCATGGCGTCATGCACCTGACTCATATGGCCCTTCCTGCAGGTGATGGGCTCACAGAAAGGCAAACCCATGTTACTTGTTTGGGCTGAGCCCAACTGGGCCCCATGGGTGGAGACCCAGTCACCAGACTCTCGCTGATGAGCCCCGACCCTTGGCCTGGCTCCAAGGTGGGGCTCTGTTAACCCACATCTGGGCAAGGGACATTGAACTCCATAAGTCTTCTGAATCGCAATTTGTCTGGCCTGTCACCTAGGACTAATCTGCCTTGGGAGATTCTACCAGGGGCAATTGTAATTGCCCCCAACAGCATAGATCCTAGGATCATTCAGACGCACAAACTCCTCCACCATGATAAGGTTGTGATTCAAGGAGATTTACCGGTAATGTGATTTCTCATATAAAAGTAAATTGTCATAGTATCAAACTTTAGAGGGGTGCTGAGGCAACCCCTTTGAAGATAGTTTGTTCTGGTTTTTAAACTCTTCATTCAGGATTGTTTGGGCCCACACAGAACAACCAGAGCAATTGGCTGAAATTTATTTACCAAAACCATTTAAAATCCAGGAAATGTAAGTTGATCGCAAATCTCTCTTTCAAGGAAGTCCTGGACCTGAAGGCAGCCTAAACATGCATGTTTTTGGACTGTGGAAGGAAATCTTGAGTACCTGGAGAAAACCAATGCAAACACAAGGAAACATGCAAAATTCACACAGAAAGTCCCCAGGCCCAACTTGGGGCTTAAAACTAGATTTTTTTTTCTTGCTGTGAGGCAACTGTGCTAACTACTAAGATGAGTTTTAAGTAAAAAAAACAAAAATATGTGGTGTCGAAACTAGATGGTCAAATAAAGAATAGACCCAGTCCACCCTCAGTTCCTAGCTCTTGGAAAATGTGTCCATTTCAGGAGTAATTTATATTTAGGCAGGAGGCAGGTCTGCCACTGGACACAAATATTTACATTTTGTGTTTTAATTAGTACTTGAAAAAGATGGCTACTTCAACCCTTTGGCGTGATTCATCAGGCTGTTCAATTGGTGGAAATCATGTACGATTTTTTTTTTTTTTTTTTTTTTTTTTTAAGTTTACTACTATTGAAACAAAGTGGGAGAAATAGATGTGGTATGCACTGATGGTATGCTCAGATTTGATCTTTTCTCTTTCTTTTTCCATCCAGATACATTTGCCAGTAAGGTAGCTGCTATCCAAGATCAGTATGCAGATGCATCCATTGGTAATGTGACAGGCTCCAATGCTGTCAATGTTTTCCTGGGCATCGGGGTGAGTCCAGCTCTCTCAACGGTTGATTAGTTGACAATGCTTTGATAGTACAACTTTTTTGTCTTTGTATATGTTTCTGTTTTTAGTGACCACTGTATCTTATATTTTATGAACTGTTGCATTTTTAGGTGGCATGGTCCATTGCTGCCATCTACCACAACAGCAAGGGGGAGGACTTTAAAGTTGATCCAGGCACTCTGGCTTTCTCTGTCACTCTCTTTACCATATTTGCCTTTATTTCTGTTGCCACTCTGATGTACCGACGGCGACCAGATATTGGTGGAGAGCTTGGCGGGCCCCGGACTGCGAAGGTCCTGACCACCATGCTGTTCATCAGCCTGTGGCTCCTCTACATTCTCTTTTCATCACTGGAGGCCTATTGCCACATCCAAGGCTTTTAAGATAATAGCAAATGACAAAGGAAAGGATGGGAAAGGACGACAACAGGATGGAAGAAATGGGGAGAAGTGAATTATTGAATGGTTTCGCATAAGGCTGTTTTGCTGACCTATTAACTCCTTCCCCTTTGTGCAATACATTAAATGACAAATGAATGAATGGATATGGATATACAGATGAAAGACATTTAAATGCATTAAAGCATCTAAAAATAAAATGGAATGAAGCACAGATACATGGAAGGACAAACGTGAGAGTGATAGCAGCTAGATAAGGTACTCAAAAGATAAAAAATGTGAGGGGAAAAGAAGTAAAGTTGTATTTTTTTTTTTTGTTTGTTTCATACCACAAATGCAGATTCATGAGGTTGTCTTAAACCAATTCATGTTTTGACTACATACTACATATCTCTAGAATTGTAAACGCTCATACATGGTAATAAACATACATCTTTTTTTCAGGTAGATCAATGAGGCAATGAGGTTAGAGCTCAAAAACTGGAGGTGTGCTTAAACAAGAGCAATCACTTATTTCAGTTGGAGCAAGCAGTCTCATATCCAGATACAGAAATATCATTATCTACATGCATGACCAGACAATACTGAAAACACAATCGGAAGGATTCATTGCCACATCTGTTTACTGACAACAAACTGCGTTTGCTGGCATGTGACGATGTGTTTGTGCTTGTGTGCCGTGGGAAGATGGCGAAATACTGTGAAAAAAAGCCTCTTGTTTTTGCTGTTGCTGCGTAAGATGCTTTCAAATTTGAGGTCTTCTTGACTCTCACTTTCTCAGCTTGCAGAATAGCTGAGTAGGACTCTTGAGGGAACATTCAGTGTGGCAAAAATGTCATTGTTGCTGAGGTCAGATGTGTAAATACTTGAAGCTGAAGTTGGAGCTTCACCGATTTTCTTCTGAATGTCTTAGTTACGCCATGCTCTCCTGAAAGGGCACTTGTTTTGTTGCTTTAAACTGTAGATATAAATGATTTAATCCTATTTAAATGAAGAAAGGGTTATTGTGCTTATACCTTTAATAAGGCCATGTCTGTGAAGACAAATGGGCCACTCTACCGTTTAAAACTGTTAGACAAAATTAGAATCGTTGCATTAAAAACTAAGTTGATCTTGCATATGTTTGGTTGTTGTTTTTTAACTGGGTTTCCACTGAGATCGCCACAAATCTTTTTTTCCAACCATATCACTGCAATACATTTTTTTAAAGTGTATAAAATGTTAGAAGCATGTTCTTCAAAACCTGATTATTTTAATTGACCATTTTCCTTGGGCACTTCTATTAACACTTTCAGCCATCATTCAGGTGTCTTGATTACTTCTACTTAAAAATATCAAGGGCTTTTTAACAATCCACCACTACTTCTAGACCCAACCCATTGAATTATAACTGTTAGCGTACAGACATAGACAAGTCTTAACAAGCCATTTTTCAGGAGCTTTTTCTTTGTTTATGGAAATTTGCAATACTTGCATCAAAAGAGAATCTAAGAACACACAAAACAAATGATAAATCCTCTTAAAATTATAAAAACAGGTTGTTAAAATTATTTGTAAAGATCCTTCTGCTGGGTGACATTATTCATTTACATAAGGCTTTTCCTTTTCCTGGTGGGTGCCTTTTCTATTGCATGTCAAAAACGTTCCATAAATTGATACATCTAATCACCTGATTATTGAGCGTGCATCAGGATACTTCCATAGATTGCATAAAACTCCCCACAAAAATCTATTTTGTTCTTTCCTAGTCATCTGTTTATATTTTTAAGTATTCTCTTCAAGCTCAAATTTTGTCAAAAACATGCGAAGATTCACGCTTTCCTGTCAGATTTTCAAAACTATTTTCACTTCACATCAGCAGCTAACAAAATCCATGAAATAGAGGAAAAGCAGCTGGTGTGAGCAGTTTGTGCCGAAGTCAGCCTTATAGAAGGTGAGGTAAATTCTACTGCAGAAAGCCCTATAGGGACATCTATCATTGGATAGCTTTAACATAAACCCTTTGTTTGACAAGCTCAAAGAGGCTTGAAGAAAACTGAGTAATACCAAGGATAGGAACATTGTTCTATTCCAACCATCAAACTAATGTGCACTTACCTAAGCTTTGCAACGAGTCTTGTGCCAAAACTTGAGTTTAACTTAAGAACCACTCTTAGTCATGGATAAAGTTCATAGTTCATATCAAACATTATCAAATCAAAAATATTTTATTACAAGATTCCTGGGATTTTCTGACTATACTGGTTTCTTCTCACATGCCAAAAACATGCATGTTAGGTTAACTGGTAACACTAAATTGTCACCAAGTGTGGGTGAGTGTGAATGGTTGTTTGTCTTGTTTGTCTCATTGTGTCTCTGTGATGGACTTGCAACCTGTCTTGGGCATACCCCATCTCTCACACAGTGACTGCTGAAGGTACGCACCGGCCATCCACAACCTGGAGAGAAGCGGGTAATGAAAACTGCTGGATGGATATTTTTAATGTAGTCATCATACTTTGATACATATAATGGTCAGGGGCCTCGTGTACAAAGACTTGCATGGCTTTCCTACTGAAACACGACATACAAACACAAATAAAAAAATTTTAAAAAGTGTATGCACAAGTAAATCCAGATGAAACTGTGCATATGCATGAATCCAAGCACACTTACTTGGTACATCCCAGTCAACATGGAATTGGGCACACATGATGGAATACCTGAATCCTTTTTTGACACGACTCCATTTAAGTATGTAAATGGATTTAAATCTACCCTGCACCTGAGGAATCTCTTCTCTGCACTACTGAAAAGCATGTCTACATGCGGAAAAAAGAGGAATGTCACTGAATGCGAGTTGGAGAAGCTTCCAAATGAGGTAGACACCCAAAACTATTGTTTGTTACACTGTCTTCTGGCATTAGCACCACACAAATGTATTTGTCCTGTGATGGTGCTTTTATAGCAATGTGTCTGCAGTCAGTGGTTCTGACTACATTAGGAAAACTGGATGTTGCTGCAAAATGTGCTTTGTTGGCCTGTTTAACTGCATTGTAGGCAATTTGATATATCTGATTGATGTATGGATAATTCCATCCCACACAGCTGGCATGGCTCAGCTCAGTGTGGACTGACACAGTCCCTATCAGTCTGCTGGCTCCCTCTGGAATGCCTCTGTTGCCAAGAACCGCAGTGTGGTCATCAGCTGTGTGGTAACGGGCAGCGCACAGCTCCTCACTGTGTTGCGCCCCAAGACTAGCTGCAGCTCCAAGCACCGTTCCAAAAGGATTGACATTGGAAACCTAAAATGGCTGATGAGCCAGTCATCACTGTGGGCCAGAAAATCCTTTCTCTAAATATATGCACTCTGCGAATTGCGCCATTTGCTATATCCTCAAGTCAAAAACCATTGTTGTTAAAAGTATTTTCTGCACCACTTTGCACATGCTTTTATGTCCACTCATCTAATTGCATACATGTGAATGTATTAATTGTTCATCATGTGTGTCTGGTGTGTACAATAATAGTTTTCACATTAACAGTCTCCCAGGATCACCTAAGTGTTGCTAATGGACCAATAACCATCGAAACGTGCATACACCAGCCATGAAGTTGGTGTGGGGCTGCGCACATTTCCACAATCATTTTATTCTTGATACATCTGAAGTTTTGCATGAAAAAGTATGCACTCCACATTTTTCTGCGTACCCACCTTTGTACATGAGGCCCCAGAAGTCCTGTTGGGTTTGCACTGACATCAATGCCTTACAGGCGTCAAAGTATATACCGGTAGTTTGGAAGTTTGTTTATATATATTGACCGATTCTAAATAACTGACACTGTTTTGCTCTATCTTGGGAAAGTGTTTAAAAATACTAAATATTACAATCTTGCTTTATAATACAGGGGGAAATGTTCTTGTTCCAAATTTGTACAAAATAGTTGAACGAGTTTGCTTTGACCTGAAATTTATATAATTTCCCTCTGGGATTAATAAAGTATTTTTGAATTGAATCGAATTGAATTTGAGCTTTAATTTTAGCACTCAGTGATTGTAAGGTGTGGGAGGAGCCTGACGGCAGTTGTATCAATCAAAGAATTACTGGGAATTGCTGAAAACACAATAATAGATTGTAAAAGCTGTAGATTTTCCCTGTTGAATGTTTACTTGATTTTTTTTATTTTTTTTATCTAATAACTATTCAACCTTGTTGAAACCACAGGCACTAAATGTTCCAATGAGAAGTAAAACTAAGTTATAAGACAAACTGACAATAATACAAAAGAAGCAAAAAAAAAAACATAGTAAATCTTTAATTCTCTTATGACTGTGAGAAGTCCAGACTTTAGACTGTTATTTTATTCATTCAGCTACAACCATAAAGATCTCAGCGTACGCAAACTTGTACTATAGCACTATTGTATGCAACCAAATTGGCTTGTATTTTCCTTATGTTGTTTTCTAATATATGTATAACTAATAGTATTTTAGTCGTAATTTTAAATGTCATCTGTAAAATAACTTGTCTGGACTAGATGTGTAACCTTGTAAACTTTACAGTAATCTAGTCACAAACAGCAATGCTGGTGAGCGAGCCTGAACAGAGGCCTTTTGTGGACAAGTTGGATAAATCCAAATTATGAAGCTTAATGTTTCTTTTAAATGTTAACATTTCCAAAATTATTGACCAGAGGTGTGGATAATGCAAAAAAATGCAAATTCAGTAGAGAAGCCAGTATTAATCCAATGATTGCTTTTGCAAACAGTGATTTATTTACATCTAATACAATATTTTAACAGCAAAGAAATTCCAATCTTTTATTATTGCAATTGCTAAACTTTAATTGTATGACTTTATATCAAAATAACTGTTTTCATATGCCTTTTGATGTGGCAGTGTACCCATTTTGCAACAAAAATTTGAACAGTGACAACACTTGCAATCATACATCTAAGGTCTGTTTTTCCTAAAACGTCAGTTTCATTTCATTAACGGTATAAGTGAACCCAAAGTGGAGCTCTTTTAACCTTACTCAGATTTTACAATAAAAATTTGTATTTGTCTTTTCACTGGTATGGAGCTGAGTGTTTATACACTGTAAAAAGTTATGCTAGCTTAAGCAAAATTAAAATTAAAATAAAACCATCAATTTTGATAGACTTTAACAGGGCAAATTTATGTTGAATTTACTTAAAATGTGTCTGCTACTTGAGTTGTTTCAGTAAACTTTACAGTAAGCGGGTAAAGAAGTTTGCAGTAATGTAGTTGTTTGCATCAAATCAATTTAACTAGACAATTTTTTTCTACGTTAACTCTAGCAACGCCGTTGCACACCCTCTCTCTACTTTAACAATAGTCTGAAATGAAGCAAATGGTCGAATGACATCTGTTCACAGGATTTGAACCAAGAATGGAGGCTAAGCAACAGCTAATACATGTTGGCTGCAACTAGCAAGTTCTCTTGCTTTACCAGCCTTGATTGTACATGCCACACAGCACTTTCTTGTGAAAAATATCTTAACCCTGCTAAGAATTGCAACGACACTTGAATTCAACTTTCTGTCTTGCTTTGGGTCGCTGAATGATAAAAGTCTAAGGTTGGGCACACTATTGCAATACTTCTAAACACTCGAAGTAACGAAATAATAGAGAGAGGAGCATTTGTTATTCAGTGGTGGATTAAAATGAAGTTGGCAGGGTTTTATGTGAAGGGAAAGCATTGCACTTG